GGAAACAGTGACCTTGCTACAACCTTCCGCGGTTGGCAGAGCCCCGGTCCCTTCGGACCATTCGAACCATAATTATGGGTGTTGAACCCGGTTCTGACCCTCATTATGCTAGGGGAGTTTTAGACTTCTCCTTGCGTCCGTCGTGTATTCTTTGATCGCTCCTGGATGCTTGTCGTCCTGGTAGTCATGTAGCTACTGAAACCTGAATTGCTTTTCTTAAATCTTCTTTTCTTCCAACTTCTGCCCATGGCGTCCTTCTCTCAGTTCGACAGCTGTCAACAGTTACTGCCACCACCATGACACTGTCGGGAGAAGGTGCTCTCTGTAGACGGGGTTGGTGATGTCCCGTGTGAACTATAACAAGGTTTATCTAATGCTAGTTTTGAACTAGTATTAGGTTATACCATAGTATGGTATGTGTAGAGTAGACTCTAGCTAGTCTAGCCTCTACTCCCCTCTAGGGCTCCCTAGATCCCTGGTGATGGTGCTAGGGGAGGGGCAGGGGGGGGGGGGGGGAGTAGATCTACGGCCCAGTAGATCTACGGGTAGTCGGGTACCGGCCGGTCGTATGGCCTCTTGGTGACATCACGACATCGTAACGTTCAGTGTCGACGATATTGGAAAGGCTTCCTGTCTGAAGCCTTTCCATACTGGTACTCGATGTTCCAGTTTTGTGACACGAGTAGGCATCGGCGGCTAATGCTCGTTTTTTCACAGTATAATGCTTTTGGCAGTGCTCGATATTTCACGGCATAATGCCTGTTATAATGCTCCATTTACACTATAATGCTAGAGTGATATGTACATTTTCGAGCTATCTTGGGCAAATATGCACATGGAAAAGAAATGTATCCACAATTGGCTCATACTGAGATAAGGCAGTGTATTTGTATATGCATGACCACACTAGACAGATACATCTTACATGTACCTGCTGCATGTCCAAAAAGAAGAATGTAGAACGCAAGAGCAGCATGGCAGCTGATAAGGAAGACAGTCCAATTGCCAGAAGTGCAGCAGCCATCATGAATGACCTAGCAAAGTACATGGTGGAGTAATATAGCCACTGCATACCAAAACCACTCACAGTTCCAAACTCATGCGACCGCGGTTGTACTGTAGCATCAGCTGTAGTTCAATATGATCCTCCAGGGTGCGCTCTTGCTGTGACGTCATGGCTGCTTGTAAAAGGGAGAAGACTCGTTCAGCCGAAGCGGAAGACGGTGGCACCGTCAAAAGAACTTTGGCAGCCTTGCTCCACTGCGAAAGTTCAGCGTGCTCTCTCCACCAGGCCAAATCGTCGTCATTAGCGATGTCAGCTTCTGCAGCAGCAACCTTGTAGGGCGCAAGCTCCAGCTTCAAGTCGTTGATGAGCTGATCGTCGTCTAACACCGGGAGTACACGTAGGGTATCGACCTCAGCTGGTGCAGGATTGGTCCTCGCAACGTACTTGGGGCATGCAAGGCGTGCTGCTTTGTACATTGCCACAACAGCATGAAGAGGAGACTCGACGTGGTTAAACTTGCGCAGGAAGTAGCATATGGCTGGCTGAACACAAGCTGTGGCATGAGCTGTCAGCTCCTTCTGTAGCTGTCGGTTGTCATGTGCGATCTTCTTCACCACAGCAGCAACATTGGGGTAGTAAGCATCTTGAGCTGCTGTAGCAACTTCTTGCAAGTGCTGGTAGGCATTGGTGCTGAGTGGTCCATCCCCCTCCAGGATGTATGTTTTCTTTACGAATGGCTCACCTGCATCAATTGTGACGGCAAGCTCAACTTGGAACAAATCGGCACTGTTTTCTGCAGTCTCGTTGTGCAGGATAGCTAGACAGTGCCTGCGTGCTGCTGGACTCCACTCACAGTTTGTCAAGAATGGCTCCACATCTCCAAAGTAGCGTAGGACCTGCGCCAGGACTTCATAAAGACTCCACCATCTGGTGTTACTGTGTGACTTCGGTGATACACCGGTTCTCGTTTTCCAGGCCAGTCGTGCCGCTGGGCTCTTTGCAAATAGGCTCACCCACCAGGTTGCGAACTCAGCCAGGACAGGTGTTGCAAAGCGGCGGCCAACATTGTCCAGGGCATGGGAGGCGCAAAGGACGTCCATAGCTCTGGGAAAGAAGAGGTTCTTCACCTGGTCCACAGCAACACCGTTCACTGCTGCTCCATCTCGAACAAATGCAACAAGTTTGCCATCTGCCAGTTGGAAAGTTGTGCTGAGGCAAGTTGCAAGCTCGCGTGCTAGCTCCAAACCAGTCATGGACTTAGCCAGCACATGCAAACGCACTAAACGTTGCTGCACTCGCCAGTCGTCATCCAGGAAACGCACTAGAATGGCAAAGGCCTCTCCAAGGTATGTTGTTCCGTCAAAAATGACAGCAATGTGCTGGGCCATCTTCACTTCTTCCTTCAGTTTAGCTTTCTCTGTTTCCAACAAGAAAGGTATAATTTGCGCCAGATGGGTGCTGAACGTCAACTTGGCGTTGTTGGCCTCTAGAAGGGGTCGAAGGTAGTCCACCTTCGCTAGTGCTATGCCAGCCTTCAACATCGCTTCCACAACGTTCGTGCGTCTCATGATGGTGGAGTCATCCATAGCCGTACTGAGGCCGGTGCCCTTCAACTTCTCCTCGTGCTTTTCCTGGTACTTCTTCCAGGAAGTTGTCAAAGTTGCCTGGTGAGCAGCCGCCTTTTTCCTTTGATCCTTGGCTCGACGATGGCGATCCGTTGAAATGTGGCCCTTTACGATGCTCTTCTTTGGCATCACAACAGTGTGACAAGCGTCACAGAACAGCTGTCCGGCTGATATACACAAGTGCTCCCCTGGGAACTCTTCAATCCGTTTGGCGGAGTTGACGCGAGACACCGTCGTAGATGCCCCTCCTCGCACTCTTGTTCTGTTTTTTTTTGGTTTGGAAGACCGTTCAAATGACCTGGGCCGGGATATTGCTGCATCCTTTGCTTTGGGCAGCTCACATTCCTCTTCCTCTGTTTCCTCATCAGAGTCATCACTTAACTCCATTGTATCTTCATAGTCACTGTCCATGGTCGCTGCAAAACAGCAGCAGCTAAAAATTAAAAAAAAGGTAAACATCCAACGCGACAACACGACACTCAACAGATGCAAGAGAGCCGTTTTCTTTTTAGCTTTGTAGTTTGTGCAGCTCTCTGCTCTGCGCCGAAAGAGCACATGCACACCGAGATCTCGAGAAACCTGTTTGCGCCAGGTCAAAGTGCATACGCGAGCACAAAACGGACACAGGATACCGATATACCCACACATACACGGTACTACTAGACTGTGTACAGTTCGAGTACACTACCGCTAGTCTGTACTAGACTGTAGTCAGTACTATACATCATTGTACAGTCCTGGCAGATGAAATCCGAAGCGTCACAGTCTGTACAGTCATGTACAAGCCTAGGGCTAGGGCTAGCTTTTGTCATGTGAAAAGACGTGTAAAAACTAAAAAGTCTTGTATTGTACCAAAATAGAACTGATAATGCTTTCTCCAGCCAAAAACATGCCACCTAATGCCGAGCACTGCTACTTCTTCAAAACACCCATATATTATAATGCTAGTTATAATGCTAGCATTAGCCGCCGATGCCTAGACACGAGAATGCCACGAGAATTAGTGTACCGCTGAGTGTACCGCTATACACGTGGTCGACACGTAGTCGACAGGTTGTTGATACCTTTTTGACACGTGACCCCGTCAACGGTCTGCTTTGTGCCAATGCCACTCGGTAAACGCCGATGCCACGTACGACAAAGACGACTATCCCGTACGCGAAATAGTTGAGAACTGCATGACGTGGACCTGACGGCAAGGACAACTGCGAGGAGACCCCTTTCGGTCGACGGGAAGGAGAACTGCATGCAGAAGTCGACGAAGTCGAACGAGGAGGCCCCTTTCCGTACCCCGTACTGCAAAGTGCCATTGATGGATGCCTTTTGCACCTGGAACGACCCCTTAAACGCTGTCGCGGCGACTATCCCGTACGCGAAATAGTTGAGAACTACTGACGTGGACCTTTTGCACCTGGGACGGCCCCGTAAACGCTGTCGACGATGTCGTGTCGGCGGAGTGAATGTGCAGGGTGAAAAGAATTGCTGCAAAGACGTCCGCTCTAGGGGCATGTTCGATTGGTAAGGATCGGGATCGGGATCCAGATCTCAGATCCCTCGGATCCTTCAGATTCAACTGAACACTTTATTTTGGACCTTGACTGTTGCCATGTTGAAAATGGCGCTCACAAGGCACCCAAAAGGGTGAACGTCGTACTCATCGCGTGCGTCGTACAAAAAGTCAACAAACTCTATCTCCATCCACGTGTGCGTACCACAATGTGTACAAAAATGATTTTTACCCGCCATATACGCACAAAGGTCACATTTGGATCCGTTGGATCCGATCAACCCTGCTCCCCGAGGAGGGTTGACCGGATCCAAATCCGAAGGATCCGGATCTGGATTCGACCAATCGAAAGGGTGCGAATCCAGTGGATCCGGTGGATCGGGATCCCGATCCTACCAATCGAACATGCCCTAGGCCTTTGGAGACATCGTGGGAACTCCTTCCGGTACTATACAAGCTGCTGACGTGGCCGTGGACATGTACATGGAGTCATGGTGGGACTTCATGTACATGGATACATGGTGGGAATTCCTTCCAGCACCCCCGTACCGCAAAGCCAACGGTGGGGAAGGAGAAGAGCAGACGTGCAGGAAGACGAACGAGGAGAAACCAGGACGAGCGAGCAATGGCAGGACTAGCTGGACCGTAAGTAGTAGCTGAATTGTGCATGACAACTTGACATCCGTGCGGCACTCGCCACTTGCCACTGCATATTATTTTCTTGTCCACTAACAATGTCTCTCCTCTGCCCCCTGTGTGTCCACGGCCCTGTTGCTGAATTGGCCCGATGAATCGAATGTCTTCCGCAACTGGAACGGCCCAGTAAACGATGTCGCGTCAGCGACTGAATGCGCTGGAGGGAAAATATTGCTGCGAAGACGTTTCCTCTAGACCACGGTAAGGCAACCCATTGATATGTTGCCAGTTACCTTCTACTAACACGTTATCAGGTGGAGAGTGTCTTGTACTCACGTTATCAGGTCGAGAGCGTATTGTAGTCACTCTCTCTATTCCTGTACTTCATTACGTTTAAGGTGTACGTATAACTTCTCAAAAAAATTTAATGGTCTACAGTCGTGTCGGAAGGGTACGGTGGGACTGTAGACCTGTTACCTTCTAACACGTTATCACTATATCAGGTCGAGAGCGTATTGTAGTCACTCTCTCTATTCCTGTACTTCATTACGTTTCAGGTGTACGTATAACTTTTCCAACAAATTTAATGGTTCACGTCTTCAGATAGAGAGCGTATTGCACCCACTGTCTAGTCTCTGTAGTGCATTGAGATTTTGTTGATCGCACATGAAAATGGATACACAGGCAAAGCAGGCCAAGTACATGGCGCGATGTCGCCAGAAGAACGTCTTCAGATAGAGAGCGTATTGCACCCACCGTCTAGTCGATTTTGTGGATCGCACATGAAATGGATACACAGACAAAGCAGGCCAAGTATATGAGAGAGTGAAATTTAATGGTCTACAGTCGTGTAGGAAGGGTACGGTGGGACTGTAGACCTGTTACCTTCTAACACGTTATCACTATATCAGGTCGAGAGCGTATTGTAGTCACTCTCTCTATTCCTGTACTTCATTACGTTTCAGGTGTACGTATAACTTTTCCAACAAATTTAATGGTTCACGTCTTCAGATAGAGAGCGTATTGCACCCACTATCTAGTCTCTGTAGTGCATTGAGATTTTGTTGATCGCACATGAAAATGGATACACAGGCAAAGCAGGCCAAGTACATGGCGAGATGTCGCCAGAAGAACGTCTTCAGATAGAGAGCGTATTGCACCCACCGTCTAGTCGATTTTGTGGATCGCACATGAAATGGATACACAGACAAAGCAGGCCAAGTATATGAGAGAGTGGACGATGTGCGGATCGACACGGCCTGCGGGTACTTCATTAAAGTTACCCGTGACATAACTAGGATAAAAGTTAATCACTGCAAAGACATTGCCAAGTATGTGAGCACTTTGGACTTGACAGAAGAGTGCAAGGGCGACGTTGACAAAACATACCGCGGTGACTGTCACCATCATGACGGCAGGGCACATCGCACGCAGCATCGCAGATCGTGTCGAATTGCGCATCATAATATTGCAAAATTGCTCCTGTGCATGCAAGTGGATTTCATTGCACTTCTCAGTTTGGGAAATGCTCGATTATGACAATTCTGCGTGTGAGTGCACTAGCCCTGAACATACATGTAGGTGACCCGTTTGTGGTGTCTCATAGCTAGCCCTTTCCCAAAGATGCTCGCCACTTTTTTCGGAACTTTTCGGTGTTTAGGAAGAAATCGCAACTTTCACAACTTTCTTCATTTTTCGGAACTATTTCGCAATTTCTCCGCAACCTTGGCGCAATTGGCCCCATGGCATGGGGTCGAAAGGTCAAGTCACCGACTACATGTTGCATTGTTGGACAAATACATACTCGTGCTCGCTCATTTCTCGCCTGCCTTCAGGCTCATTTCTGAGAAACAGTAGATCAACGGTAGTTACGATAATTATGTGCATTCCCTTTTCCGTGCACTGTAATGATGTACATGTACATGTAGGATACATGCAACAGGCTACTGGCACTGTGTAAAATGGTGGTTCACAGCAGGAAGGGGTGTACGAGTTTGCTGTCGCAGCATCGCTGCATTTCTGCTATTTCTGCTCCCTGTTTTGTAGGTTTTGCACAAGAACTCTCCAATTTTGAGTTGCGATGTTGGCAACTTTTGAGCTTTTTCTGAAAATATGGATGCGATTTCAGCAACTAGCACTTGTTTTGGCACGGTTGCGAAAAGCATAAGTTGCGAAAAACTATGGCATCTTTGGGAAAGGACTACTCATAGCCTACCTCACGACCTTCTGCTTTCTTTCTTCATCACTTGTATCTTGCAGGTATATCATCCCGTGACGACCACATTGAAGTCTGAATTTGAAGTGTGAAGATGCTTCAGCAACCACATCGTACTTTTCCATTGCTTTCATTATGCTTCTACTGTGCATGTGTGTAACTTGTGGGGTAAACATGTGATGACATTGTATGCTAGCGACACGGTCAGATGTTGTCCATGCGTCTAACGTACACGTGCATGTTATGCATTGAAAAGGATTTGCCACTTGCGATCCTGGGACGAGTATCAGGTCAGCTTTGTCCTGTCTGGGCTGTATCAGATTGCTGTTCACTTCTCTATCTGTTGGATGTGTGACTTTCTGCAAGTTTCTGGTGTATGATGGCCACTTCCTTTCTTGTCACTTTGTATGATATGTTAGGTTCACGATTTCACATATGCACGCACTCGCACACTCGTACGCACTCGCACCCTCGAACTCACCTTTACAGGCGCGCACTCACTTTCACTCTCGTACTCACCTTTTCGGGCGCGCACTCACTTTCACTCTCGTACTCACCTTTACAGGCGCGCACTCACTTTCACTCTCGCACTCACCTTTACAGGCGCGAACTCACCTTTCCGGGCGCGCACTCACTTCCACTCTCGTACTCACCTTTTCAGGCGCGGACTTACCTTTACTCTCGTACTCACCTTTACAGGCGCGAACTCACCTTTTTTTTTTTTTTTTTTTTACATCAAAAACAGCCTCTTTTACGGGCAAGATTAAACATTAAAAGCAACACAATGATGAGAAAACAAGAGGGGTAAACACAATAACTTTATCAACGCTGTTGACTCACGCATACACACATACACACACACACACACACAAGATAACAATGATACTCAGTACCTAGACTGCAGGAGTTGCAAAGAAAGTTAAATCAATGCAGCCTCCGCGTTTGCGAGGACAGCAGACTGATCATTGACGCGGCGCATCCGCCGGGCACCACGAAGGCACCTTTTAGGGCGCGCACTCACATTCACTCGACGTACTCACCTTCACAGCCTCGTACTCACCCTGGTTGCTTTTACTAATCTTTTCTTTCTTTGGCCTGGGTAGCTGGACTCGCGCTTTAGCACATTTATCTCCATAGCTACCCAGGCCCTAGATAAGCTCTTGCTGGAGCATTTGCTCTCCCCCTTCTACCTCTTCTTGTCTTTACTGTATTCGCTGCTTCCATGGCGTGGTCTGCAAACTGCAATCCTTGGGCAAATGTCATGTTTGCTATGTTGTGCTTTGGCCGTCAGCTTGTCTACACGCTGTAGTTGAATTATTTTTGTTTCACAACTGACTTCCTCAAGTACGGTGGCCACTGCTTTGCATGGCATTATATATGAAGAATTTCCTGTTTGTGCCGTGCGCATGTGCGTATGTGTGCGTGGCCACGTGTGTGTGCCGTGTGCATGTGCGTATGTGTGCGTGGCCACGTGTGTGTGCCGTGTGCATACGCATGTTTGTGTATCTGTGTGCGGGGTAGCGAGGCGGGGAGGGCTGGTATGTATCAGTGTTTTATTGCAGTCTCATGGCTACATACAGTACATCGCGCATGGTCATCATGTTTATCTTCGGGGTTGGGGTGGGGAGGGAACGGAAAAAGAACTGAAATTATCCATATAAAACCGCTCTGTGAGCGGTTCTGAAAAACCTTTACTGGTACTGCCCCGTCGTAAAAGTAAGAAATTAGAACTGGTCCATTGTCCTCCCAAATGCGAACTGATCCACCTAAATCGCGAATGACGGGACCCGAACGCACCAGTAGCACGAGGTTCCTACCTGTGGATGCAGATGGGGACGTTGGTCCGGACCAAAGGCCATGTACTGTACTAGCGGTAGGTGGTGTTACCCTATGATAATTGCTGTCCTGTGCCCTCCCGACCTCGTGCTACTGGTGCGTTCGGGTCCCGTCATTCGCGATTTAGGTGGATCAGTTCGCATTTGGGAGGACAATGGACCAGTTCTAATTTCTTACTTTTACGACGGGGCAGTACCAGTAAAGGTTTTTCAGAACCGCTCACAGAGCGGTTTTATATGGATAATGTATATGCACAGAGGTCATATCAGTAGACCATGCATGCATGCATGGTAGACAGGGTTGGCCGATCGGCGCGGCCATGGGGGATGTGTCCTTGCTACCGACCGACCATGTAACATTGTTACCAGTGATTCAAAGATGAAGAACTCAAAGTGACCAAAAACAGTGGAAGCTGAAATAAAAATAAGTGCACGTCTTTGATTCTTTCATTTTGTTGATTCGATGTCCCTTGTGAGTGGAAGGCTAGGAGATAAGAAGTTCACATGCAGGCCGCTATTTAGCTATACGTAATACGTATGGTTGTTTGATCGCTTCCAATCTCTTACTCGGAAGGAAAATTTAGGTGATCGTATAAATTATTATTGAAAGAGATTGTGCTGCAATGGTGTGCCAAAGTATGACCATAGTTTTCGCTTCAAAGAAATAGCAAGACTCATCAACCAGTCACTGAAGACTGAACGTGGAAACTCACAATCGTAATTCTGTCCTCAGGGATTGGAACGTTGTGGACAGGCGTACATTAGGATGGATCAATCACCTCTGAACAATGTGGTCACTACCGAGTTGCAGAAACGATATCCTCTGGCTGATGTGGACTTTCCCACCATCGACTATACTTACCAGGAGATGTTAAACTGGCCAGTGCGCTTGGATGGAAGGGGATGGCCACAGCACACCTGCTTTGACAGCGACTCACTGCATCACGTGTTCCTGTTGATGATAGT